TATTTTAAAAATATAAAGATAAGCCAGTGGGATTTTATCATTCCTTAATTTCAATGAGTTAAAGCCTCCAGTGAATGTTGATTTAGGTATTCAAGAACAGCCTGCTCTCAGGAAGGTAGGTGTTGGTTCACGCTTTCTTCCTGCTCCCCCCAACATTATATTTCATAGTACTGCAAAACAAAACTAAATTGATCAATGAGCTTGCATCATCTGTATTCTTGTAAGTGAGTACATGTGGCTCCATGGGGGCTATAATGGAAATAAGCCATTGTAGCCACAGAAACACATTCTCAAACTCAAGTTTCCTGTCTCTTTAGGGCTCTTTCCACTAAAACGCTTGAAATCTCTATAATGGCAGTCACAGAATGAGACTCTGAGGCTCACTGTCCAGTATAGTAGCTGCTAACCAAATGTGGCTATTGAACACCTAAAACGTACCCTGTCTGAATTGAGACATGTGGCGAGTGTAAAATACACACTGGAATTTGAAGACTTGGTATGAAAAAAGTAACATAAAACATTTTGTGAAAAATTTTCATGTAGTTTACATTCAAAATGATGATACTTTGTACATATCGGGTTAAATAAATTATAATGCCAAATGAGTCTCAGCTATTTCTTTTTACTTTTCTTAAAGTGCTTACTTGAAAATCTAAAGTAAGCATGTGACTTGCATTCTATTTCTATTGAACAGCCCAGGTCTGAGGATTCGTATCGTCAGGGCACCACCGCTCTCTGCAATTTTCATGCTCTCCCCCACCTCCGTCCCCTATATATAACTCTATTCTCTAGAACTAGATGCCAAAAAGGGAGGGGGAAAGAGTATTCAAAGGTAAGAAAACTATCAAAAATGATTTGTCCAATCACATTATTGGTTAAAAATAAAAACAAATGAAATACTTGAAAAGGCCCTAGATGTTTAGTACATTTCCTCTGGGGGAAATGCATGTGTAACAAACATTAAGGTTGTTTTTGTATAATAGCAGGAAGAAAGCAGAATGAGCTTGAATAAGAAAGGCAGGCTCTATAAGGATAGTGAGTCACCCATGGAACCCTAGGGCAGGGCTGTAGCTAGCTGGACCCAAAACCAGGCAGGAACTTGGCCTGGAGCACTGCAGGGAAGCTCAGCAAATCCTTTCTCTCCCCATAGCATCTCTGCAATGCATACTGGCTTTCTTCAGGTCCCAATCCATGCAATGATGATGATGAGGAGGAGGATGATGATAAACAGCAACAGTTATGGAACACATACTATATGCAAGGCACTGTGCAAAGCACTTTATATGTAATAGCTCATTTAATTCTCATTCCACCTTCATTCAACGTATAATTTTTCCATTTTGAAGACAAGGAAATTGAGATGGAGATGGGTTTAAGAATATTTACCCAAGGCGATATGGCTATTAAATGGCAAAACCAAGATTAGAATCAACTAATTGGGTGCTTAACAATATGCTGTCTAGTCTTTTATTGTGAAGAACAGTTACCTCCAAGAGTTTCCAAATTGCATTTCCTAAAATAACTGTATTTACTTCATAGGGTTGTTGTGAGAATTAAATGAGATATAGCGTAAATCTTAGCAGTGTTTCTGACATATAGCATGCACTTCACAGGTGTCAGCTGGTAGTACTATTATTGCTGTCATCTTTGCTCAAGAGAGCAGCTAGATCAAGACTAGAATTGTAGTCTTGATTTCAAGTTATCACTGGAGGGATTCAGATTGGCAGAACACAAGTGTCAGACCCAATTCTGGGCCCTCATTTGTTTCCAGGAGGGAATAATCTCTTGGGTCAGATGGGGCTCCCTGGAGTTCCACCTTTGTGAATTAGGGACAGAGGGGAAGGGTTGGAAGGCAGGCTACTACCTAAAGTGATGCAAACCGTAATCTCTCAAAGGCATGAATAATCATTATTCTGGGAACATA